GAGCAGCGGGCGGCGGGCAGCAGGGAGCAAGCGGCGGCGGCGGATGGCGGCGGGCGACGACCGGGCGGTGCAGATTTGGCGCAGGGGGCCCTCCCTCACGCAGATCTGGCGGCGGCTCTGACCCCGTGCGACGACGACGACGCGGGTGGTGGCGGCGGCGGCAACCATGACGGCGACAAGTGGGCGGCGACGCAGCTGACAGCCATGGACGACGATGGCTGAGACGTCCTCGCTCTCCCCGTCGGCGCCATCTTCCTCTCCCACAGCACGCCTGCCCGCCGCTCGTCTGCTTCGCCGGCCAGCCGCTCCCCGCGCAGTCAGCAGCGGCGAAGGTGACCGTGCCGGCGTCGAGGTTGTAGCCGACGTGGATGTTCTGCTGCCCGAGGTTCCTGAGGATGGACACCGTCTGCTGCTCCGTCGTCGCCACGATCGCCAGGCACAACTAGAGATGGCAATGGGGCCCCGTTCACCATTTCCCCGCAGTGAATTCACCTATTAGGTGACGGGGATGGTTAATATCTGTCCACCATGGTGAATGAAATGGTCCCATAGTTATCACCATCGGGGATGACGTCCCCGTCCCCCGCGGTGACCCGACCTTTCTATATAGAGGACTAATTTTAGACTTTATAGACGTTTTGGCCCATAACAATTAACCATTATATATAACAGTATATATAAAAAGCTAACCCTAGCCTCTCCTCCAGCTCTCCACTGCAGCCACTCCCGCACAGGTGCGCGGCGCGGGCGCCGCTTCCTCCACTCGCGTGCGCCGCTACCTTCTCTCGCCCGCGCCACTGCCGCTTCCAGACATGCGCGCCGCCTCCTCCTCTGGCCCGCGCCGCCCTACAGAAGCGCGCGCCGCCGCCGCCGCCTCCTCTCGCGCGCGCCGCCGCTTCCAGACACGCGTGCCGCCTCCTCCTCTCGCCCACGCTGCCTCCTCCTCTCGCCCACGCCGCCCCCTGCAGACGCGCGTGCCGCCTCCTCTCGCGCGGGCCGCCGCTCTCCTGCTCCCTCCGTCGACGCGCCACCGGGAACCGCCAACTTCGTGCTGCCCGGCGCCTGCAGGCGTCGATGTGGGCGTGGGAGATGTCGTCGCGTGGCCAGGAGCGGGGTAACCACGGGGAAAAGTTCACCGCGCGGTGATCGGGGCTGGTGAAAATATAGCCCCGTCGTGATTGACGGGGGCGGGGACGGTGAAATTTTATCACCGTGGTGATGGGGACGCGGGTGTGACCCCCGACGGCGAATTCACCGTTGCCATCTCTAGGCACAGCGTCCCTTCCTGCCCCATCACGCACGCGTTCTCCGGCTTCAGCGCCGCCGCCGCCACTGCCGAACTCCAGCGTCAAGTCCGGACTCACCTGTTCGGTTTGCTTCCTACTGGCTGTACACAAGAGGTCATTCAAGATCAGTAACTCATACTCTATTCTAGCAAGCTGGCTGTTGGTGAGAATTCTGAATTCTCATTGCATCGCCTAACGAATATCATCGGAGTGTTATACATAAATCAATTTCTCAGCTGGGAGTGTTACTCCTGCATTGCTCTACAATTTATGAGTCAAGTAATTTGATCTCTCACAGAATCTATAGCGAGGTAAGAAAGCGAAACCGGCGCCACAAAATATCTTGAAATCCTGTTCTTCTGATTAAAGAATAGCTTAGCTTGAGATTGTTCTGTTCATTACAAAGCTTATTTTTGCATTTCTGTATCTTACTATCCTTTCTACATAAGTACTTTGATTATCTGAACAAGATTCCACGGTGGAGTATAGATGTTTATCGATGTGATTTGTGATTCTCTCTCCGGCTTCCACCTCCCGCCCGGCCACCTCGTAGCACAGCTGCAGCAGGCCATCCGGCGACTGCATCGGCGGCAGCGTGATCCGGCGGGAGAGCTCGTCGATGAGTGGTCCCATCAAAGCTGGGTCGAGGAATGTCAGCATCGTGCCGGAGTCCACGATGATGCGGGAGCTCGCCGCCGACGCCACCGTCTTGTTGCCGACCTTGACGGAGTCGAGGACCACGGTGTAGTACGTGTCCACGTCGCCGGCGACGAGCTGCGTGGTCGCCACGCCGGGCTCGGTGATGTTGGCGAGGGCACCGAAGTTGAGCACCGACGAGGTGTTGACGGAGTGCGGGACGAGGCAGTATGACTGTAGGAGAATCTCCGGCCGAGCGACGCCGCGCCGCTGCCGAGCCCAACCAGCCTGTCGGCCGGGAACGAGCCGGCTCGTCGCAGTGGAGCAGCCGAACTTGACGCTGCCCACGCCGCCTCGTGGTCGTGGGCCTTGTGGGTGGCGGCCGGCGGGGGATCCCACACGCCGTTCCTAACCCCGCCGCCCCTCCCCCACTGCCCGCCCGCAGCTGCTTCCCCACCGCTGCCGCGTCGCCTGTCGCCGCCATCAAATTGGAGAGAAGTCAAAGAGAGATGAGGAAGGGATAGAAGAGGGGAGGAGAGATGACCTAGCATTCTGACATGTGGGGTGGGAGGAGAGATGACCTAGCATTCTGACATGTGGGGTCCATGTGGGTCTCACGCTAACTCAGCCGCCACGCCAGACAAAACCGGGGTCAAAACCACCGGAGAATCTAAAGTATATGGTTTTATTAGTTAAGGGACGCCCGATATCTGGTTTTGCGGTTGGAGGATGATTTTGTAACTCGATGACAAGTTGAGGGACCTTTAGTGTACTTTTTCCTAATTAAAATGAGAAAACTAAAAATAATCCTCTCCCTCTGTTTGGGCCGAATCCAGCCCAAAGTCTCCCTTCTCCACTTTTGGCCCGAGGACGAAGTCCTCTTCTTGTCTCCCTCCATCTCTTCCTTCCCTCCCTCTCCTTGGGCCGGCCCAAGTCTCCTCCCTCCCCTCGGACCAAAGTCCGCTTTCCTAGCTCCGTGTGGCCCAGCCACTGGTCGTCTTCCACCTCCAGCCGAGCCATCGCCTGCTCATCTCTCCCGGCCAAACTCAAGTGCCCCTGCCTCGCCGATCTCCTTCCCCGTTCGTTCCCTCCATTGCAAAAATCGGTTCCTCTCCTCCTCCTCATTATTTTCCCCCAAGATTTCCTCCTCTTGATCCGACTTTTATTCATCGGATGTAATCTCATTGAACTCCGGCCGTTTTTCACATCCTCTATGGCCGACCGGCAAGCTCCCTATCCCCCTCCTCCCCATAGCCTATAAAAGGGCAGCAGCACCTTCCCTCCCCTTACCTCTTGCCACCACCGGAGCTCCCTCGGTCTCCCCTCATCTCCTCACGTTTTCCTCTCTCTCCACCACACCGGCAAACTCCCCGTTGACCGTAGCAACGCCAAACCACACCACATCACCAGCGATCTCCTCTCCCCACCCCCCCCCTTCACCCCGACGGGCATCGCAGCGATCTCCTCTTCCCCGGCCACCCTCCGTTTCGCCCGGAGACCGCCGGAAGCTCATCCTCGCCAACAACCGGTGAAGAACATCGTCATTCTCCATCTTCGGCAACACCTCCCCGTCGAGCCCGTGCCTCGCCGTGCCTATCCCCGGCTTCCCCTTCCCCTAGCCCGAAGCTCACTCTCATTGGTAGACAGTGAAGACACCACCGTCTTCTTCCTCCGGCAGCCCCTCCCTCCTCGCCGGAGCGCTGCCTCGCTGCGTTGTCGCTCCTGTTGGCTGCACCTCATCGTCCTCGTCCTCGGCCGCGCATCCTCGTTGGCCGAAGACTCCTGGAACACCGCCTCCGACGCTGTTGTTCCCGCCAAGACAAAGTGCCGCCCATCGTCGCCTTCAAGTCTGCAGTGCCAAGTCCACCATCATCCGCCTCTGCGCTAAGCCTAAATATCACTGGAGCCATCTGATCGTCGTCGACCCATTCATCTTCGTCACCCTTATCCGTTCATTGTCGCTGCGCCAAGGCCGTTGCAAGTCGCCATAGTTGTTCCCTCGTCACATTGTGCCGGTGGTGAGAACCCCTCCCCTCACGGCCTCACTGCCCTCTCCTCGTCCTCCCCGTGTGGTCGCCGTGTGGTTGCTCACGTGTGCAGCCCGTGTGGTAGTCACATGAGGCTCGCTTGTTGCTGCTTGTTTCGGTTGACACGTAGGGTCTGACCTCGTCCTTCCCGTGGACCGTCTCTGTAGACTTAGTCCATAGTGAATTAGTCGTCTGACTCATGTGTCCTGATTGCCAGTATCACAATCCTTTCTCTCGAGCAATAGTGCACTACACATAATTTAACAGTGTAATAACTATTAAATAACTCGAAAATATCCACTTTAATTGCACTTAAAATTCGGATATTCGCTTCTCGGTCATACGAGCTCCTCATTGACCAGCTTAAATTGTTTTATTTTCTTATAAGTTAAAGAACACGTGTTTGTTGTATTTATATATTGTTTTCTGGTTCTGAGAAAAAAAACGAATTCGCTCCGACCTACAAGTGTGATTGCTTATCATTTACTCCGGCCTAGCTCCAATTCCGGTAGTCTGATTGTGACTTTGTGAGTATAGTCCGCCATAAGGCTCGAGGCTGACAGCCCGGCCCAACGCACGGATTTTGTCCAGCCCAGGCACGGGCACGCCTATGCCTTGGCACAGTAGGCCGGCCCGGCACTGCACGAAGTTTAGGGAGCTAAAATAGACTTATTTTCACAAAGAATAGGGAGGACAAATAAACGTATTATATGGCACGACCCAAATAGTACGGACATAAAATAGACTTATTTAGCTATATATATGTCAGAAGCCAAATAGACTTATTTAAAAAAAGCACGATGGGCTGCACGTGCCTTCAGGCCAGCCCAGCACGACTGACCCTTATTGGGCCGTGCCTGGGCCATAAGTGGAGCACGTGGGCCGGCACGACACGGCCTAACGTATAGGGTCGGGCTGTGCCGGCCCGACAAATCTTGGCCGGGGCACGATCGGGACTGGGCCGTGCCATGCCAGGCGGCCTATTTGGCCATCTATATTTGCGTGTATATCATTGTTGTGCCTAGCTTAACAAGCTTTCGATCGACCAAGGTTAACAATTGACTGTCTGTTTTACTTTTATTAACCCTTCAAATGTGAAGTAGCAGAACATATATAGCGCACGTCACACAAATGCCCAACAGTACATTTTACATCGTGAATGGTAGTATGGTACCATCCACTCAAGTTTCTCTGAATACATGAAACATTGCTCGACAATAGATAAAAACATAACACGTGGTTTAGCAATATAACAGCACGAATACATGAAACCTCTGGAACAAGTACCACTATGATGCCTTCATTTGCGTACTAATCCATTTAGAACCTCATTAGCAGACATGGCCGAGAACATCAGTGTTTGCGTTCACTTACCTTTGCTCTGAACTAATTCTTCTTCCTGCTGTCATCAGGTGCGTGGAGCACCATGGTCTCAATGGTGAAACCGGGTCCAAATCCCAGCATCACCCCCCACTCGGCTCCGTCTCCTTCCTCCTCCATCCGCCTTCGCTGCTCCTCCAGCACGAAGATCAGCGTGCTGCCCAGCATGTTGCCGTTCTCCCTTAGCACCTTTCGGCTCGCTGCCAGTTTCCCCTGCTTTAGCTGGAGAGCGCTCTCGATGTGGTCCAAGATCAACGGGCTTCCCGGGTGCACCGCCCAGAAGAGGTCGTTCCACTCGCCGCCGTCGAGGCCGAGCGGCGTGAGCGCGTCGGAGAGGCACTGCTTGACGTTGTTCGCGGCGAGAGGGACGAGCTCTTTGGTGTCGATGTCGCCGTCGAGGCCGTGCTCCGTGAGCTGCATGGTGATGACGTGCTCGGTCCCCGGTATGAGCGTCTGCGAGGCGGAGACCATCTCGAAAAGCGGGTGCTCGACGGGGCGCGCGGCGTCGGCGCCGACGATGACCGCGCCGGCGCCGTCGCCGAACAGCGCCTGGCAGGTGACGGTGTGGGGGCTGTAAGGCCCGCGGAAGGTGAGGACGGTGAGCTCGACGCAGGCGACGAGGACGCGCGCGCCGCGGCTGTTCTCGGCGAGGTCCTTGGCGAGGCGCAGCGCGGCGGCGCCCGCGGAGCAGCCGTTGAGGTGGATCATGGTGCGGCGCACGGTGGGGCGGAGGCCGAGGAGCGCGGCGAGGCGGACGTCGGCGCCCGGGGCGTGGGCGCCCGCGTTGGTGGTCACGACGAGGTGGGTGATGTCGGTGGCGGGGCGGCCCCACTGGACGATGGCCCTCGCCGCGGCCGTCGCGGCGAGCTCTGGGACGGCCGCGGCGGCGATCTCCAGGCGCGCGTCCAGCGACGGCGTCGCGCGGTCGAGGAATTCAGGGTGCGCGTTGATCATTTCCTCGGTGTGGTGGAAGAAACGCTTCTCACTGCCCGACGCCGATACGCCTGAAAAATCACCAAGCAAACAAAGATGAGTCAAATGATAGTTGAAAAATGGGAATAAATGACTTAATTTGCGAAGCTTAATTACATAGTGCGTCTAATTTGTCTTTGAACCCAGCAACGTGCTCGCTGTTGGTGACACGGCAGTACAAGTCGGCGTAGTCGGCCTGGGTCACGCAGTTCGCCGGGTTCGCCGTGCCGATGGCCAGCACGGCGGCGGTGCCGTCTGCGCGCTGCGCACGCCGGAGCTCGTCGACGGTGACCGGAACAGCAGCCGGAGTGCTCCCCATGGTGTTTGTCCCTTTGTCCTAGCTAGCTAGCTATAGCAGTGGCTCTAGAAGCTCGAAGATTCGAAGAACTGGATGTTACAAGGATGCAAGTGATGGAGATGAAGCATTGCAATGGGTCTCGTTATATAGACAATCCATGGTTGTTGGTCTCTCCAATTCTCCATCAGTACACACCAAATGATGTACGATGTCTCTCTACTGTGAAGCGAAAGAAGCATGAGACTAAATGAATTATACATGGTTAATTGGTGTCTCTTAATTAGATTCTTTTTTGGTGGGCGCGCGAGGACTAGACCACCAGAGGACCCTACCAGACAAGCTGGGGACCCACCTGCAGCGAGCAAAAAGAAGAGATCAGAAACGTGAAGCTGCATGCGACCGACGACGGCCATTGACCGGTAAATTTCTCCGTCAGTGGTCAGTGCCTCAGTTGTCCGTTGTACCCAAGCGTACGTGTGAGCATCGAGCGAAAATATAAAAACGTGAGTAGCATGCTAAATGCACGGGTAACGAAAGGAAACTGACGTGAGGTTTACTACAAAAGTGTCTTAGGTGGTGTTTGAGATGGTAGGAATATATTTTAGTCTCTCTCACAAAAAATATAACTCTCTTCCCTAAGTCCTTCTCCGAGGGACTTATGTTTCCTAAAACCACCTTATAGATAGACATAAAACTAGTAGATTTTTTACAACATAATGTTTTAATGGATGTGACTATATAGTGCACGGTAGTGCGTTAGTCCTAAGCGGAGACCACTTCATCCCATATATAAATCCTCTTTAGTTTAAAGTGCATATCTTTTTTAACTTCTTTAATAACTTATATCTTTTAAATCACATATTATTTTAACATCTATTGTATCATTGTACTCTACTCAAAATATGTAACAAAACGAGATCCATGTTGAATATATTTAAACATTTTATGAATTTAGAAGTAATTTATCTAAACTGTAGAAATAACTTAAATATGCAATAGAAGTAACTCTCTATAGCATTACGAGTAATTACATTATAACTAAGTTGAAGTAAGAAAAAACTGTGGAGTAAAATCACAAGCAAATGTAGAGAAGATTTTCAAATAAATACATTTATGAAAATAAATTCAATAAAGTCTAAAAGTAATTTACATAAATCATAAAAGTAACTTAACACAAAGTGGAAGTAAGTTGTTACAACATTAGAAGTAAGTCCGTTGTAGAGATAAAAACATGAGTCTATCTAAAAATTAAATTTAATCGGCACAAATTATGGAATTGACTAAAAACAATAATAAAAGCAATCAAATCAAAGCATTATGAATGTATAAGAAGTAATTTAATCAAATCGAAAAGTAATTTATATATATATGATAAAAGTAACTTACATATATAATAAAAAGTAATTTATAAACATAAATATTTTTTATCATAAATATAATCACGTAAGATATTGTTAAAAATATTTAGTTGCAACGACAATGGTGTAATCGGATTGTATATCGGATAAGTAATTTAAGAGAAAATTTTATAAGAAGGGAAAAAAAGACATATATGACATTATAACAAAGAAATGCATTATATCTGTAGATGTGTGTAACAATACTTATCTGATATATGTGGCATCCTCCATTAAGACTAAATAGAGAATCCTCTTGGCCTTCTTCCTCCAATAGCTACAAAACTATATTTGTGTTGTGTTGGTCTCTTATCACACCTACTCTTGCATTTGTTCATCTACTTGATCTTCATGCCATAAGGGAAGACAGTTTTGACTAAAAATAGCTAGTTTTGTTCAAATTTGATCAACCTCAAGTTCTCAACTGTTTTTTTAAAGAAACTTTGAGAAAGGACATGGGTACCTATTTACAAGATAGAGTTATCCCAATTTGTCATAGGAACCCAAAAACCTTATAAATGCACAGGTAATGAAAGGAAACTGACATATAAACAAATAAAACAAACATAATTACCCGAGACGGCACACCACCAAAACCGAAGACTTAGGACTAACGAACCTCGACAAAAGTCATTGTTGCGTAGCTTAAAGCCAAATACCATGTAGCCACTTAGCCTCCACAGCCAAGAACGCCAACAACAGCTTGTGAACACCCAACTTGGGACCATCTAGAATAAGACTCTAAAAGGGACACAACATTGAGAACGTTCCCCTAAAGGAAAAAAATAAAATCACCACAGTGTTGCACTTCTAAGTAGGGAAACGACGCCCATAGACATCGACGTCACCGGTTGATGATTGGGACAAGTTAGGCATTTCCCAAAGTTCTCACTTCCTGCCAACCACGCCATCCACAAGTGCATCCTCCACATGCCCAGAATGGTAGGAGTTCAGTGTCATCGTTGCCAAAATCATCACACTAACCAAAGTATCTCTAACTTCGCTCTAAAGCACAACTGCCTCACCATGCCACGATTGCCTCCAAGAAAATGGTAGCGGCAATCCAGCGTGCTGCCAACGACATCACGTCCGCTGGATACCTTGTCAAAGCTTGTTACCAAGCCTCCGCCCTCCCTAACACCATATAGGTCCCACGGCGGAGCCTAGAAGTGGAGTCCAACTAGCCACGGAAGGGGAGTATCATCAAGAGGGAAAAGGGGGAGGCACAACCAGTAGACAGGAAGACACTCATCATCGATCCTTGTCATACTATTGTCTATATGTGCACCTTGCCGAGTACCACCTTAGTCATTGCCATGGGTTAAGCCAGCCTCCCCTCCCTCCCACCCCGATAATCTCTCATACTATCCACAACCATCCCAGCTACCGCTTCCCTTTCTAAAGCGCGGTCTCCAATGTCTAGGTGCTCTCATGCAAATCGGTTGCGTATACTTGCTAAATTTGGTTTTCTGGTTCAAATAGACCGCTCCATTATGTCATGCCACCTCAGCCATTGTTGTCACTCATGGGCCACCCCTAGAGTTGGATATCGTACCAGCTCAGCTCGGCTCATTATGGCTCGTTAGGATAATGAGTTGGCTCAGCTCGTTATCCTAGTGACTTAGAAGTTTGGGTCGATTCATTTGAAAGCTCATGCTGACTCGTTAAGCTTGCATTCTAAGTATCAAACCAACATACAAATTCCATACTTTTGAACAAAAGATTAGTCTATATGTCTCGATATATAAACAAGTTGAGTGGCGTGAGACGACAAATGGATGGAGGGGATGAGTTTAATTTGTTGAGACTTGAGAGAGCAGCAAGTTCTAAAAAAAAAGGTGCATACCACGGGTGAGGGCAACACAAGCCTTAGGTTAGGGTTTTAAGGTTAGTGATATACTTTTTTCTTGTTGGACTATTGTGTTGGGTTATTTTCCCATTGCTTGCCTTGGCTCATTTTGCTCACTAGTTACTTTGAGCTAGCTTTGTCATACCTAACGAGCAGAACCTTAGCTCAACTTGTTAACATATCAAAATGAGCAGAGCCAACCACGAGCCAAGCCAGCTAGTGAGCCAAGAATTTTTCATCCAACCCCACCCACTCATTTCTCCATGCCAAATCCGAGTAACAAATTGTACCATTGCCCAGTCACCACCATCCTAGCTCATAAGGCGGTTTCGTGTTGCTCGATCTAGTGACGGTAGCGTGGAGGAGGAGGGAGGAAGGGGTGGTAGAGGCTACGTTTTGGGTCGCCACCTAAATCTCTTGCGCGGGGTGCACAAGGTTCTAGAGATCCTATAATCCACCACTCACAACCTAATTTACAAATTTCAACTCAAAAGTGAAGTTTTAATATGCTCAACTTTTTTTTTTGCTCTTTGCAAACCTTTATGTGTTCTCTTAAGAAACACTTTCAAATTGCTTTGACATATTTCCGAACGAAACTCAAACAAAATTAAAACTCGCACTACTAGAAAATTAATTTATCACAAAAAAAATCGTAGCATCAATGCTAAAATTGTGGCAATAGATACATGTTGCCACAATCTTAAAATCGTTACTAGCCGTGGTAATAAATAGCGTGGTAATAGGTTATTGCAATGATTTTTATTTAGTTATAATAAATTTTGATATTGCCATAAAATGGATGTGGCAAAAAATATATATTGCAACACTTCACATCGTTGCAATAAATAACTATTGCCACCACTCCATGTGTGGCATTATTTCTACGTACCAAATTAAATGTTTCAATATTAATTTATCATCCTACCTATTTTCTTTAGATATCTTGTCATGGCTAGCATTCGAACCCAAGATCTCTCCCTCACGCGCGCTCTCCATGACCAACTCACCTACGCATCAATTTTGTTTAAAAATTCATATAATTCCATTTGAGACTTCCTAACTGAGATTTGAATCATGAATTTGAGTATTTAAAAGATTTTGAACGAAAAATTTAAGTTGTAGATCTCATCAAGAGCTATAAATTTCATATAAAATTCGTCCTAATCTGTATCCATATGAATAGAATAAGTTAAATTATGAGATGATAAATTTTTTATTGCAACGAATTTATTGATCATGGCAATAGAAAATAGTGAAAAGTACCATGTACTATGCAAATTGCCACAAAAAATAAATTTGTGGCAATAGAACATGTTTTTTTGCAATAGTAATGTTTTTTTATGGCGATAGCTCATTTCCTATTGCAACAAAAATACTGAATAAAACAACGATCGTAAATCGTTGCAACAAAGTATAGTTATTTGTCACAGAAAAATTATCATTGTGATAGTCCAATTATCTTGTAGTGTCGGGTTCAAACACCATGCATCCATTCAAGCCAATGATAGGAACTTGATGCATGCATGCCACATATGCTCCCACTCATCCTAGGGAGTATCGACGTACAAAGGGATAGTTGCCGTTGCTGCGTTTTTGTCTGCGATGGCCTAACACTGTATGTATCTAGGAAGTAGTTACTTCCTTAATCGAAATACCATTTTTAATAAACTTAATGTAATAAAAGGCATGCTTTGCACATTTACATTATTAACACAATTTCCAAGCCTGCATTGTAGGCATTGTCTGATTACGCACTAGTCAACCCAATTTTGACCAAGGAATTCTAGAGAGATGGAAATCGATCAGTCTTAACTTACAAATTAATGCCTGGTCCTGGTCTCCTGGACACATAGTGCAATACTATACCTTGTATTCGTCATGTTCATGAATCATTATTCCAATATGAACGATCAGAACCAACATTGTTGCTGAATT